GAGAATAAATTTAAAGATTCAACGCGCTTCTATGAACCGATCGTCAAGAAGAAATATGATAGTGTTAGTGAAGCAAAGACCATTTCTTCACGTAGAACATAAAACCATAATAAGATCACGTAGAATACAAAACCATAATAAGATCAAGTAGAAGTAATTTTAGGAAAAATATGATGTCATTTGGTTTTTTTGATGATGATCTTGTGATGAAGTCGGATATTATGATTTTATAACAAGGCCTTTATTTTTTTTTCTTTACCATAGTCTGACGCTTGCAATCTATTTGCAGATCCTGGACGTGAGCGCTATAGTTCTTGCAAACCTCTGCGTTAGCTACATCATGACCTCGCAAAACGCAGAGGCCGAAGAGTTGATGAAGAAGATTGAGAAAGAGGAAGAGGCAGTGTCGTTTGAAGATCAGGATAGGAAACTCTTTCATTTGTGCATCGTGAATCTGGTGATCGGGACGCTGTACTGCTCCAAGGGTAATTACGAGTTCGGCATATCGCGGGTGATGAAGAGCTTGGAGCCCTACAATAAGAAACTCGGCACTGACACTTGGTTCTATGCGAAAAGATGCTTTTTATCGCTCGTAGAGCAATTGGCGAAACAGTTAGTGGTCCTGAAAGATTCCACATTGCAGGAATGTATTCAATTTTTGGAGCATTGCGAAGGTACACAGCTTTCAATTAACTTATGAAGTAATATTTGTAATATTTTGTTAATATACGAATGGAATTATTGACTGATCTTGTTGTTTGATATAGAAGAGTATATAGAAGAAAAAAAGGAATGGATTGTATTAACAATTTAGCAGTTGTACTAGTAAAAAATTTCACCCAATCATCACCCAATCGATACCAACTAAAAGTAATGTAATATCGATGATATAATTTCATATTTAACAGTTATAACAATATATATGTTGTATAACATGATCTGAGTTGCGTTCAGAAAGACGCTATTAGCGCTATTTAAATCATTTTATCTTTAGCATTCATTAAATATAAAATAAAGATAGAATGACATAAATAAGCGCTAACTATGTTAGTGTTCTCCATGATGTTACATTACAGTTGTTGAGCGTAAGATTATAACATTGATGTTATAAATTTATGTTACTTTTAGTTGGTGTCGATTGGGCGATTAACTTAACAAAAGTTCGGCTGATCTTGTAAATTTTTTGTAAACGACGGACTTATACTTGTGTGCTTCTCTATCTGAAATTTCAGTTTATGGCAAGGACATAATGACGGTGATCGACCAGCCGTTTGACATACAGGACATGCTGAACATTTCACCTCAAGGCAAACGGACGGTCGTTTACGAGGCGCGATACCTCAAGGCATTATTCTTAAAGTTGAAAATGTCTTAGATTTATAATTAGATGCATAAAGAAAAGTGCTTATATATATTGTACATTTTGTGTTATGATTATTTTAATTAGTATAATATTAGGAATAAAAGTTTATAGTGCTGCAAACTACAAAATTCAAGTAACTGTAACTTTGTTCAAAATGAACAAAAATTTCAATAAAAAAAGGGTTTTAAAACTTAAAATTACAATTACTAAGGATATAATGATTTACTATGTTTTATACTGGCTGCGTTCAGTATAGTTGACAGTTCAGTAAATTCAAGTGATTCAACAGTTGAGTAAGCGCTCGCTATTATTAGTATATTCTTTTAGATTACCCAATCAGATTTTAGATGTAGAAGAATACATCAATAGCAGCGAGCGCTCACTCAACTGTTGAGTCTGCTGAACGTAACTAATTGGTTGCCTCTTTCGAATCTAGCGGGTGATCTTAGGGCCATTGGCTGCGTTCAGCAGACTCAACAGTTTTGCAACCGTTTTATGATTGGCTGCATTC